TTTGGGTGGGGACAGAGCCAAACCATATCAGCTTACAAGCTCTTACACAGATGACCACTCAGCAAAACAGATAAAAATCTTTGAATTAGCAAGATTATTCCAAGTCAGAGTCTAGCTAATAATCAGAGGCATTCGGTTCTGATTGCAGCTACATCATGCTGATGACAGCTTCCTGGTCCTCACCACAGATGGAATTAACTTCATGGTGAATAGTCAAGAGATTTGTGACTTTGTCAATCAGTGCCACGATCCCAATGAAGCAGCCCACGCAGTGACTGAACAGGTGACCCAGAGCTTCTTCCGGAAGAGTCTCAGGAGAAGGAAAGGACAGCCCAGGAATTGTGTTTTAGCTTTTGAGTGTTGCAGTGAATTTTAAACTTGATTCCATAATATTTCCAAGTACAAAATTTTTATTATTTCCCCAAGTTAAAATTTTAATATGCCAAGGAAACGAGCTTTGTTTATTCTTTGGCCTTGCATATACTTTGAAATGAGAGTAACAGCAATAGTAAATTATAATAGTAGTAAACTAATATGTCACTTACACTTACTGTGTCAGACAGTATTCATATATATTAACTCATTACTATATGTATTGCACAGTATATACAATTACATATATGGTAATCACAATAACCTATTAAGTTGGAGCTATTTCTGTCGCTTTTCACAGATGAGGAAAACAGGTACAGAGGCTACACAGTTAAGTAACTCACTGAAGGTCACAAAACTATTAAATTGCAGAACTGGACTTCAAACCCAGACAACTAGTTTCCCAAATCCAACCACTTGACCATTAAACTAGAGTGCTCTAAGCAAATATCCAACTTGAGGATATAGCATAGTCATCTTCTGGTTATTCAGAATGGGTGGGTGGAAAAGATAAACCAAAATACAAAAAGGCATAGGGATGAGGTTGTGTGTCAGTCAGAACTAAAATTAGAAGATGGCTGGTAATATCCAGTAAAGAAAACTTAAACTGTGCTTTGTATTATTTAAAGTACGTTTTAATTCAACAGCTATTTTTGCATTTCCCAAAATAAGATAACAGACCTTACTTCAAAAGTGTTATTTACTCGGAAATAGATGGGCAACATCATCATAAGACATGAATTATTCATTTGGTTACGGCCTTCACCCGTGCTAACCAGGGTGCTCATGAAATTGAGGAAATAGGCCCAATTCCATGGATGAGCACTTCTTTCCCAATTTCAACTGCCTGTCTTGCAGTATTTGCATTCTAATTCACAAAGGCAATGAAATTTGTAATGAATGCATAGTGTTCCATCTTATTCTTATACATAATTCATTTAACAGGTCCCCCGGTCAAAAAATTTAGTTTATGTTCATGTTTTCTGTACTATAGAGGAAGCACTGTAATAAATATTCTGACATCTATTTGTGCATATCTGTTTCCTTCAGGAAATAGGTTGAATTCTTAGAAATAGTATTCAGGTATGGTGGCAAGCACATGTAAGTCCCAGCTACAAGGGAGGATGAGGTGTGAGGATTGCTTGAGCTCTTAGAAATAAAATTTCTACAGAGTGAGACTCCCTCAGGAAAACAAAAAAAAAAAAGAACAGAAATACACAAGTATGGGTGAAGTGCGGTGACTTGCACTCTAATCCCAGCACTTTAGGGGGACGAGGCTAGAGGATCACTTGAGCTCAGGAGTTTGGGACCAGCCTGCGCAATCTGGCAAAACCTCATCTGTATAAAAATAAAAAGGTTATCCAGGTGTGTTGGTGCATGCCTGCAGACAGCTATTCAGGAGGCTGAGGTGGGAGGTGGAGGTTGCAGTGAGTTGAGATTGAACCACCACACTCCAGCCTAGGTGACAGGGCCAGACCTTGTCTCAAAAAGACCCCAAGAAAGCACACAAACAAAAATAACCCCAAAGTGATATGAGTATTCTCTGTGTGTAGAAGAGTATTCTGTGTGTATATAATTATATTATGTATGTGATAAGATTATATGATCAAATGTACATCATTTATTTTTGAGACCCTGTCTCAAATAAAAGAAAGTTCCATTAAAAAAAAAAAAAAAAAGAAAAGAAAATTTCTAGGCCAGGTGTGGTGGCTTACACCTGCACTTTGGGAAGCTGAGATGGGAAGATTGCTTGAGCCCAGGAGTTTGAGACCAGCCTGGGCAATATGGTGAGACCCAGTCTCTACAAAAAAAAATATATATTTTTTTTACTTAGCTGGGCATGGTGATATATGCCCATGGTGTCAGCTACTTGGAAGGCTGGGGTGGGAAGATCACCTGAGCCTGGGCGGTCGAGGCTGCAGTGAGCCACGATTGTGCCGCTGCACTCCAGCCTGGATGACAGAGCAAGACCTCGTCTCAATAAATAAATACAAATTTCTAGATAAAAGAATACACAGTGTTCTAGAGCTTTTAATAAGTTTGCCAAATTCTCCGCCAGAAATACTATGCCAGTTTACACTAGCATGTTCTACAGTTTGTGTTTCTCCAAATTTTTAGCGTATTTTTTTCTTTTTACCAATTTGATAGGTGGAAAAATCAAATTTTAGTGTAGACATTTGTATCTTTTTTTCTTTTTTAGTGGAGTTAGATATTTGCATAGGCTTATTAGCCATTTGTATTTCTTTTATGATTATGGCTAGTTTTTTTGTCTTTCAATTTCCAAGGTTTTTATTCTGTTAGGGTAACTTTCCCTAAAGGGAAATGAATTCCTGGTAAGAGCTAACAGTTATCAAGTCCATGTGTTAAGCCCTGCACTAAATGGTTTACACGTATCTTCATTTTCAGGAGCTGCATACCAATGCACCTTAGTCCACTGGTGTTTCTGTTGCCAAAATTGCTACAGCAGAAATAGTTAATATGGTTGTTTTGGGTCATCTGTTATTCCATGTGCAATTTAATAAAACTTGTGGGCATTAATACAGGGTGAAAATCACAAACCATTGTGAAATAAGTAGGTTAGTAACTGCATGTAAGACCAGTTTGGCTTTCCAGGGGAAGGGGATTTCCAAGGGAAGGAAAGGCTGATTTCTCTTTGTATAGCCTGTGATTTCCAATGTTTTTCTTTTTCTTCTTGCCAAACCTTGCAGGCAATACAGTACGGTACTGAAGATAATAGTACTGCAGTAGTAGTGCCTTTTGGTGCCTGGGGAAAATATAAGAACTCTGAAATCAACTTCTCATTCAGCAGAAGCTTTGCCTCCAGTGGACGATGGGCCTGATTACCAGCTGGGACTTTGAGTTTCTGTGCAAAAGTTTTTCACTGAGCATGTCAAGAAACTGATGAGATCAGAAAAGTCTCCTGTATCTGGGTGACCCTGTGACTCACTAGATCAGTGCACAAGTCAGTGTAAACTTAACCACTTAGTTTTCTTCATAAATACTCATCATATTTGTGTTCAGCTGTGGGTGCTCCGTGTAAATATGTGTGTAGTGATGCTACTGTGAGTCTTTAAATTGAAAGCGCAAATAAGAAGTGGTTTGGATACACTTGATGAGAGATGAGAGTGTTGCATTAATAATTTTTAAGACTCTTAGGCAGCTATGGTTTTTTTTGATCATTTTTGTTCTTTATCCATTTGAACATGTTTTGAAGTTCTTCAGAACTAGTCAGTTTGAATTTTGACAGCTGTTCAATATGTGATCTCCAAGTTAAAAAAAAAATTTCCAGGCTTCCCTAATTCTATAATGCAAGTTTTTATTTTAAATAACTCTCCCAACGAATAAGTATGAAAACAGTCTTTTGTTACCATATTTTGTATTCTGGACCACTTACTGGTGAAAATAACCCTGCAAAAGAAAGTAATTCGGCCAGGCATAGTAGCTCATACCTGTAATCCCAGCACTTTGGGAGGCCGAGGTGGGTAGATCACCTGAGGTCAGGAGTTCAAGACCTGTCTGACCATCATGGTGAAACCCTGTCTCTACTAAAAATACANCTGAGCCACTATAGTCCCTAGTACAGTATAGTGTAGGCTTCCGAAACTGGCAGGAAACGCTTGTTAATTAATTGCATGAAGGATTTCAAGTCTATAGATATCCTACTTCATTTTATCTAACAGAGAATTAGGCAGAGTTTACTATGTGCTAGGCTTTGTTCAAAATAAGTACTACTATTTCAATTTTTCAAGGAAAATCTAAAGCATAAAGAGGTCAATGCACCTCTGCTCACCCAGCCCAAAAATAGAGGCAGGATTCAAATCCTAGAAGCCTGGCCTCAGAAGACAGCACTCACAACCATTACATTGAGCTACCTCTCAGCATTGGACTATCTGGATTCTCCCTTTAACATTTTACAATGTTAAATTATGCAAGTAAAGCAAGATATCTTGAAGGGTGTTTGCTAAATGGTTAGGACTGATTACCTCTGGTGATTGGATTTCAGAGGATTGCAACTTCTTTACTCTTTACTTTCTGATATTAAGTGCTATTTATATTTTACTAATTAAATATTAGCTTTATCCTTGGTGGTTAATTCTAAATGTTACTACTTTTGCCCAACATATAGGCTTTACATTTTCACTGTTTGCCTATGTATTAGTCTGTTCTCACACTGCTGATAAAGATATACTTGAGACTGGGTAATTTAAAAGCAAAAAGGTTTAATGGGCTCACAGTTCCACATGGCTGGGGAGGCCTCACAATCATGGTGGAAGGTGAAAGAGAAACAAAGTCATGTCTTACATGGTGGCAGGCAAAGAGAGCATGTGCAAGGGAACTCCCCTTTACAAAACCATCAGATCTCATGAGACTTCTTCACTGTTATGAGAATGGCATGGGAAAGACCCCACCACCATGATTGAGTTACCTCCCACTGGGTCCCTCCCACAACACATGGGAATTATGGGAGCTACAATTTAAGATGAGATTTGGGTGGGGACAGAGCCAAACCATATCAGCTTACAAGCTCTTACACAGATGACCACTCAGCAAAACAGATAAAAATCTTTGAATTAGCAAGATTATTCCAAGTCAGAGTCTAGCTAATAATCAGAGGCATTCGGTTCTGATTGCAGCTACATCATGCTGATGACAGCTTCCTGGTCCTCACCACAGATGGAATTAACTTCATGGTGAATAGTCAAGAGATTTGTGACTTTGTCAATCAGTGCCACGATCCCAATGAAGCAGCCCACGCAGTGACTGAACAGGTGACCCAGAGCTTCTTCCGGAAGAGTCTCAGGAGAAGGAAAGGACAGCCCAGGAATTGTGTTTTAGCTTTTGAGTGTTGCAGTGAATTTTAAACTTGATTCCATAATATTTCCAAGTACAAAATTTTTATTATTTCCCCAAGTTAAAATTTTAATATGCCAAGGAAACGAGCTTTGTTTATTCTTTGGCCTTGCATATACTTTGAAATGAGAGTAACAGCAATAGTAAATTATAATAGTAGTAAACTAATATGTCACTTACACTTACTGTGTCAGACAGTATTCATATATATTAACTCATTACTATATGTATTGCACAGTATATACAATTACATATATGGTAATCACAATAACCTATTAAGTTGGAGCTATTTCTGTCGCTTTTCACAGATGAGGAAAACAGGTACAGAGGCTACACAGTTAAGTAACTCACTGAAGGTCACAAAACTATTAAATTGCAGAACTGGACTTCAAACCCAGACAACTAGTTTCCCAAATCCAACCACTTGACCATTAAACTAGAGTGCTCTAAGCAAATATCCAACTTGAGGATATAGCATAGTCATCTTCTGGTTATTCAGAATGGGTGGGTGGAAAAGATAAACCAAAATACAAAAAGGCATAGGGATGAGGTTGTGTGTCAGTCAGAACTAAAATTAGAAGATGGCTGGTAATATCCAGTAAAGAAAACTTAAACTGTGCTTTGTATTATTTAAAGTACGTTTTAATTCAACAGCTATTTTTGCATTTCCCAAAATAAGATAACAGACCTTACTTCAAAAGTGTTATTTACTCGGAAATAGATGGGCAACATCATCATAAGACATGAATTATTCATTTGGTTACGGCCTTCACCCGTGCTAACCAGGGTGCTCATGAAATTGAGGAAATAGGCCCAATTCCATGGATGAGCACTTCTTTCCCAATTTCAACTGCCTGTCTTGCAGTATTTGCATTCTAATTCACAAAGGCAATGAAATTTGTAATGAATGCATAGTGTTCCATCTTATTCTTATACATAATTCATTTAACAGGTCCCCCGGTCAAAAAATTTAGTTTATGTTCATGTTTTCTGTACTATAGAGGAAGCACTGTAATAAATATTCTGACATCTATTTGTGCATATCTGTTTCCTTCAGGAAATAGGTTGAATTCTTAGAAATAGTATTCAGGTATGGTGGCAAGCACATGTAAGTCCCAGCTACAAGGGAGGATGAGGTGTGAGGATTGCTTGAGCTCTTAGAAATAAAATTTCTACAGAGTGAGACTCCCTCAGGAAAACAAAAAAAAAAAAGAACAGAAATACACAAGTATGGGTGAAGTGCGGTGACTTGCACTCTAATCCCAGCACTTTAGGGGGACGAGGCTAGAGGATCACTTGAGCTCAGGAGTTTGGGACCAGCCTGCGCAATCTGGCAAAACCTCATCTGTATAAAAATAAAAAGGTTATCCAGGTGTGTTGGTGCATGCCTGCAGACAGCTATTCAGGAGGCTGAGGTGGGAGGTGGAGGTTGCAGTGAGTTGAGATTGAACCACCACACTCCAGCCTAGGTGACAGGGCCAGACCTTGTCTCAAAAAGACCCCAAGAAAGCACACAAACAAAAATAACCCCAAAGTGATATGAGTATTCTCTGTGTGTAGAAGAGTATTCTGTGTGTATATAATTATATTATGTATGTGATAAGATTATATGATCAAATGTACATCATTTATTTTTGAGACCCTGTCTCAAATAAAAGAAAGTTCCATTAAAAAAAAAAAAAAAAAGAAAAGAAAATTTCTAGGCCAGGTGTGGTGGCTTACACCTGCACTTTGGGAAGCTGAGATGGGAAGATTGCTTGAGCCCAGGAGTTTGAGACCAGCCTGGGCAATATGGTGAGACCCAGTCTCTACAAAAAAAAATATATATTTTTTTTACTTAGCTGGGCATGGTGATATATGCCCATGGTGTCAGCTACTTGGAAGGCTGGGGTGGGAAGATCACCTGAGCCTGGGCGGTCGAGGCTGCAGTGAGCCACGATTGTGCCGCTGCACTCCAGCCTGGATGACAGAGCAAGACCTCGTCTCAATAAATAAATACAAATTTCTAGATAAAAGAATACACAGTGTTCTAGAGCTTTTAATAAGTTTGCCAAATTCTCCGCCAGAAATACTATGCCAGTTTACACTAGCATGTTCTACAGTTTGTGTTTCTCCAAATTTTTAGCGTATTTTTTTCTTTTTACCAATTTGATAGGTGGAAAAATCAAATTTTAGTGTAGACATTTGTATCTTTTTTTCTTTTTTAGTGGAGTTAGATATTTGCATAGGCTTATTAGCCATTTGTATTTCTTTTATGATTATGGCTAGTTTTTTTGTCTTTCAATTTCCAAGGTTTTTATTCTGTTAGGGTAACTTTCCCTAAAGGGAAATGAATTCCTGGTAAGAGCTAACAGTTATCAAGTCCATGTGTTAAGCCCTGCACTAAATGGTTTACACGTATCTTCATTTTCAGGAGCTGCATACCAATGCACCTTAGTCCACTGGTGTTTCTGTTGCCAAAATTGCTACAGCAGAAATAGTTAATATGGTTGTTTTGGGTCATCTGTTATTCCATGTGCAATTTAATAAAACTTGTGGGCATTAATACAGGGTGAAAATCACAAACCATTGTGAAATAAGTAGGTTAGTAACTGCATGTAAGACCAGTTTGGCTTTCCAGGGGAAGGGGATTTCCAAGGGAAGGAAAGGCTGATTTCTCTTTGTATAGCCTGTGATTTCCAATGTTTTTCTTTTTCTTCTTGCCAAACCTTGCAGGCAATACAGTACGGTACTGAAGATAATAGTACTGCAGTAGTAGTGCCTTTTGGTGCCTGGGGAAAATATAAGAACTCTGAAATCAACTTCTCATTCAGCAGAAGCTTTGCCTCCAGTGGACGATGGGCCTGATTACCAGCTGGGACTTTGAGTTTCTGTGCAAAAGTTTTTCACTGAGCATGTCAAGAAACTGATGAGATCAGAAAAGTCTCCTGTATCTGGGTGACCCTGTGACTCACTAGATCAGTGCACAAGTCAGTGTAAACTTAACCACTTAGTTTTCTTCATAAATACTCATCATATTTGTGTTCAGCTGTGGGTGCTCCGTGTAAATATGTGTGTAGTGATGCTACTGTGAGTCTTTAAATTGAAAGCGCAAATAAGAAGTGGTTTGGATACACTTGATGAGAGATGAGAGTGTTGCATTAATAATTTTTAAGACTCTTAGGCAGCTATGGTTTTTTTTGATCATTTTTGTTCTTTATCCATTTGAACATGTTTTGAAGTTCTTCAGAACTAGTCAGTTTGAATTTTGACAGCTGTTCAATATGTGATCTCCAAGTTAAAAAAAAAATTTCCAGGCTTCCCTAATTCTATAATGCAAGTTTTTATTTTAAATAACTCTCCCAACGAATAAGTATGAAAACAGTCTTTTGTTACCATATTTTGTATTCTGGACCACTTACTGGTGAAAATAACCCTGCAAAAGAAAGTAATTCGGCCAGGCATAGTAGCTCATACCTGTAATCCCAGCACTTTGGGAGGCCGAGGTGGGTAGATCACCTGAGGTCAGGAGTTCAAGACCTGTCTGACCATCATGGTGAAACCCTGTCTCTACTAAAAATACAGAAAAAAAATAAAATTAGCCGGGAGTGGTGGCAGACACCTGTAATCCCAGCTACCAGGGAGGCTGAGGCAAAAGAATTACTTAAACCCAACAGACAGAGGTTGCAGTGAGCCGAGATCGTGCCATTGCACTCTAGCCTGGGCAACATGAGTGAAACTCCATCTCAAAAAAAAAAAAAAGATACTAATTCAGATGATATACATATGAATATAAATATGTTATACATGTTTATAAATGTGTATTTCAACTGCCTCATCAGCCCTCCTCTCCGTTCATTCCTATTTTTCTGCAGTTAAGAATACTATAAAAATGTGATTATTCCTTAATATCAGAAAAGAATGTACAGGCTAAGAGTCTTCTGGTCAAAAGTTAAATACTGATGGAATCAAGTATTTTGTATAAAGCTTTCATTTGTTATTGCTAACTCTATTTTGTGTTTTGTATATAATATTATAGTATGTGTGTATCACTTATAGAGTAAGCAATTGAGTAACTTGTTAGTAAAAATAATATCACATTGACTGATACTGCTATAGACATAGCTTGAGTTTTATGTCTCCTTTTTGCTCATTTTCTGAGACTTAGAAGAAAGAATAAATCTAAAATGAACATTAAAATATTGTCCATTTCAGCTTGCTATGTAACTTACGAGTATAAAACTATACTTCTTTTTATCTGCATGTAAGTTTACTGTTAAAATGTGAATTTCTAAATGTGTTTTTGCAATTAGATCTGTAGTTTATTTCTGCAAACTATGTAAATTTGTTATATGCGTGGGTATATGTACATATGTATATTTTGGAGTAATATAAAGTTAAAGGGAACAATCTCATATAGTTCTTTCACCAGTTTTAAATTATTGATATACTAAGGACTCTTGACAAACTAGGGGCAATTTCCCTATAGTGGATAACCAGTGATTATTAGAAGATGAGGAAATAGATTAAAATTGCTATATGGCATTTGCATATAAGGTAATAGGATGTGAGAAAAATACTGAATCTTAAGAATGACATGGAATTTTGTGGGATAAACAAAAAGTTGATGTAGCATATACCTTCAACTGTTTTTTTGACTTTTTTTTTTTCTTTAAGCTTTAGGTAAAAGTGTATGAGGAGGGAGAGAGCCCAATATAAATACTCACATCTTCTTACCTTTTTGGGAATAGAAGAAAATAAATCTTGAGCTTTCTGCCTCTATTAATCAGGAATTATCCTTTGAAAAAAGTGCTAAATAAGTATTTCAGTTTTTTTCCCAAGAGAAGTTAGGTGAAAGAAGGAAAAATATTACAGGAAAGACCGTCGTGTCCTGTTTGTTGGCTGAGAGGCGAGGAACCAAAGGGAGGCAACTAAAGCAGGAAACCATCTTGCTTTTTCTAGTCAGTTCTTGGAACAGAAATGTGAAAGCTACCTTTAGGAACAAGGAGAATTTCCAAACCAACAGGCAAAGGAAAACTAACACACAGAAATGACATAATAAAGATGTAAGATTTGGCTGGGCTCAGTGGCTCAAGCCTGTAATCCTAGCACTTTGGGAGGCCAAGGCAGGTGGATCACATGAGGTCTCGAACCATGGCCAACATGGTGAATCCTCTCTCGACCAAAAATGCAAAAACTTAGCTGGGCGTGGTGGTAAGCGCCTGTAATCCCAGCAACTTGGGAGGCCGAGGCAGGAGAATTGCTTGAACCTGGGAGGCGGAGGTTACAGTGAGCTGAGATCACATCATTGCACTCCAGCCTGGACAACAGGGCAAAAATTCCATCTCAAATAAATAAATAAAGATGCAGGTTTCATTTTTGTTTTGAATGCTTTACATTACTATTCCTGTCTTTTACTTTAAGGTTAGGAGTGATGTTGTCAGGTTCAAAGGCGTGAGGGTGATTGATGGATTGAGGTAGATAGCTAAGTTTGTCTGTTTTTGTTTTGTTTTTTCTAATAGTGACAGAGACTCACTCTGTTGTTCAGGCTGGAGTGCAGTGGCACGATCATAGCTCCCTGAAATTAACAGGTTTGACAAAGGGATATAGGGTAGACTTGACTGCTTTATCTGGGGAAGCTTTTAAAACCTTAAGCCAGTTAACTTTGACTAAGCATAAAACATACTATACTGGTGTTTGTATTTTTCATGCCACAATATTAAAATGGAACACTTTTTAAATGTAGATTATTATAATCTATAAAAGATAAGTATACAAGTATTTGGATACTGGAAAATATGCAAATAGTAGTTTAAAAAGGGACTGCTCTAGTTTTTTAGTTCTAACTGAATTTGCCATGTGGGTATAGGTGTAGTGTAATTTACATTAATGTAGTAAAACACATCACTTGTGTTTGGGTTTGTCTTTCATTTATGTGTAGTATAGAAATCACCTTTCTAATACGCGTTGCCAAACTATTTGCCACCATCTATTTGGTGAAATATTCTAGAGTCATTGTGATTTTCCACAAGTATAAGTTCTTAAGTACCTTATAGATTCAGAAGTAAACACTGTCCTGTTCTCCATCAGCTGTTCATTTGTTACAGATGTTTGTATTTAAGTGCTTCAAAGTCTTACTCATTTTTCTGGGGGGATGTCCACTTTGGAGGGATCCGTTTTGATCCTTTGTACTCTATAATGTGAACTTCCCCATGTTTCAACACTTAAAAAATAATTACTTCAAGGAATTATTAACACATAATTTAAAGACGGAAATTATTTTTTTAAGTGAAATTTGATTTTTTTTTTTTTTTAGGATTTTCGTAGAGAATAAGCAGGCCTATTCATCAATATCAAACAAGACACTTAGTTTCTTTCCTAAGAATTAACATAAATTTAATTTCATGGTAATATGATAATAAGAAAATGCTTCTATTTTTCTTTAGCACCTCCATGGTTCTCATATACCCATGTCGGTAAAAGTGACATGCGATTTTGGTTGGGTTACATTTTATTGTATTTATTAGATTCACTTATATAGATGACTTAAGCAGAAATAAAGTCATGTCTTTACAAGGTGAACAAGCCAAGGTTGTGATGGCCTGCCTGTCACTTTTGGCATTTGGGATGAGACCAATTGACTCTCCCATTGATCGTTAGATGGTTGAAATGGTCCACTCGTGGTCATACTTAGTGTTCAAGGCTGTGAAATCATGGAGTTCTTCCACCTCCAAGAATGACTCATCTGCTGTTGGATTCTAGTATGGAGTTTAGCAGGCTGATGTGTCCCCAAACTGATTTAATTTCTACTGAAGTGCTCTTGTGTACATTTGTTTTATAATTTACCAAAGTACTACCTGAGTGTCTAATGATTCCTATGGCGAGTTAATGTAATTGCTGCTTTGACCATTGTTTTAAATGTATGTATTAGAGTAACTGTGAGCAGAATAAAATCACATTATCTCAGTGTTAATAAAGTACATGCATTAAACAAATTTTAAAATCCAGCTGTGTTTATTTGGCATCCAGACTGCAACATTGTATGTGTGATGTAAAAGAGTTAACAGCCCGGTGCAGTGGCTCACACCTGTAATCTTAGCACTTTGGGAGGCTGAGGCAGGTGGATCACTTGAGGTCAGGAGTTTGAGACCAGCCTGGCCAACATGGTGAAACCCCGTCTCTACTAAAAATACAAAAATTAGTCATGTGTGGTGGCATGCATCTATAATCTCAGTTATTCAGGAGGCTGAGACTGAGAATCACTTGAACCTGGGAGGCAGAGGTTGCAGTGAGCCAAGATTGCACCACTGCACTGCAGCCTGGGTGACAGTGGGACTCTCAATAAAAAAAGGGGGACATAGTCCAGAAACTCTAACTTAGTGGATGAATGAACACTAGAGATGATAACTGAGCATATGTCACATAAATTAGGGTAGACAACTAAATTATGTACAAATGAATATAACTGAGGAGCAAGTGTGAAGGAGTGAATAGAATGACCACTTCAAACAGCATAGGATTCACAAATGACCATGTAGAGAAGCCTAATAAATCAGTCTACCAGTGATAAGTATTGAGAATCTACGACCTATGTACATTTCTGTAAAAGACAGCAGGGTGGATGTAGCAGGGCTTGGGGACCATGGTGGTTGATTATCTTCCCAGAGAGACTTTGTCAGGAGATGGAAAAATGAGGAAAGAGAGTTATACCAGAAGGAGAGCATGTTCATCTGAACAAGTGAAGCAAATGTGGGGACAACAGAGATCTAACCAGTGAAGTCACTGAGCCTTTGGTAACACACCAAGGGTAGTTTCTATCCAGGATCAGGAGATCTATCTCATGTCTTAGGAAGCAGGGAGCCAAAAGCAAGACCAGTTATTTTTTTTTTTTTTCCCAGAGCCTGGTGCAAAATGAAAATGCAGAGCCATTTTTTAAAAATTAAGAATTTAACAAAGGGTCTGGTGCAGTGGCACATGCCTGTAATCTGAGAACTTTGGTAGGCTGAGGTGGGTGTATCATTTGAGCCCAGGAGTTTGAGACCAGTCTGGACAAGGTAGTGAGACCCTGTCTCTATAAAAAACATAGAAAAATTAGCCAGACGTGGTGGTGCACGCCTGTAGTCCCAGCTACTAAGGAGGCTGAGATGTGAGGATCGCTGGAGCCCAGAAGGCTGAGGCTGCAGTGAGCTGTGATCATGCTACTGCACTCCAGCCTGGGCGACAGAGAGCAAGACTTAAGACTCCATCTCAAAAAAAGGGAAAAGGAATTTTAAGATTGCAAGAATAGAGCATTAAATCAAGCCTGGGACCCTTCCAAGTGCTAGGCCCTATG